AAATTCGCTACATATCTACATACGATGAATTTATTGCGTGGAAAGAAGATAAAAAAGCAAATAGTTTTTCAGAAAATGTTATGTTATCATACTTTTCCGAACTCTCAGCAAAATTAAAACCTTCTACGTTATGGTCAAGGTTTTCGATGATAAAAAGTATGCTGAAAATAAGGAACAACGTGGATATAAGTCAATATCCAAAATTAAATTCTTTCTTAAAACGACAATCAGATGGGTTTACCAGTAAAAAGTCGAAAATATTAACATCGAATGACGTGGAAAGGTTTTTGAAAGAAGCTCCCGATAATTGTTATTTAGCCACAATAGTTATTTATTATACAAGAGTGGAAAGTTCCTTTTTAACCGCGTGCTCGATTTGGATGACCGAGCAAGCGAAGGATTCTAAAGTTGAATCACGAGCGCAGCGAGTGATTCTAAATTAGAATCCTGAGCGTCAGCGAGGGAAACAAACGAGCACAAGGTGAAAAATCTTTCCACTCGAGTGCAATACGTAACTTTTCATCCCACCTCAGCGAGGAAATGACAAAATGAAAAAGAAAACAATTTATAATGACAAAATATTTTTATTTCAATTAAAACACATTAAGATAATCTATAAATTGAAGAAAATAATAAGAAGTAGAAAATAATTAAGAAATATTAAATGTAACGTTGCTACAGTTACTTATGTTAAGTTTAATATTTTTGTTAGGTAATGTTATGTTGGTGTTTGTGAATTGTGCGCTGTTTTGTGGTAAACTACTCGTATCAGTAATTTTAAATAGTTGTGCCGATTCATTGGATTCTATTGGCGTAAATGTTGGCGAGAGAGGGCTATTGTTTCCAATCTTATGGGGGCTCATTTTAGATGTAGAAGGGCGAGACCAAGAATCTGACAGAGGTTCTTTCAGCGTTATGGCCTCCACGATACTATTACAAATTTTTGATTTACTTTGGATTGAATCCTCTATGTATCCCTCTACAACCGAATTAGACTTCCAGCCTCCATGGCGCTTAAGCGATAGAAGATCAGCCCCTGATTCGGCCAAAAGTGTGGCTGAGGTTCTTCTAAAACAGTGACCGGTGTATAACGGGGGTTCTAAAAGTCCGAGAAAAGTTGCTATTTCTCGTGGAATACTGCCAATTTTATTCTGACCCATAGGTTGTCGGATACACTTTCCGTTGCGATATTGTAGAAAAAATCGTTCAATTGGGGTGTTAGAAGGACGTAAAGCTTGATATTTCTGAACAATGTTTACATATTCCTTGCGAATAACGAAGTTGCGGTCTTTTTTTGTCTTGGTATTTAGTACATTAATTAATAGCAATTCATCAGAATTATGAGAATATTTTGATACGTTATTGACATTAAGTAGTGTAAGTTCATTTGTTCGACATGCTCCGGTTATACCAATAATAAGAACAACCTGTAACAAAAGAAGTATTTATAATCGTAAATAAATTAATCAAATTAAAAATATTGTAAGTACTATGTACAATTTTATCAACAACAAAAAATTACACGTATTGACTTACTTTTGCCGCTAAATATACGGAATCAGGTGCTTCATTAATAAACTTTGCAATTTCAGATGCTGTGAAAACCTTCGATTTTTTTGGTTTATAACCAGATGAGGCTCTTTTTAAAAATGCCACTAATTTATGATAGGTGTCGATATGAACGTCTTTCTTCATCTTAATTGTTAATTTTAGCATTGAATACGTACTCCATAGCGTGCTTGCTTTCTTGGTCTCAGATAATTCTATAAAATATGCCAGCAAAACGTTTTCGGAGAAAGTTTTTGCTCCTTTAGCTAGTCGCCACATGTTAAATATATCGTACTGTTTCAAATACTTCTCTCATGATTGCTGAGGGAGAAGGCTCATTTGCGCATTATTAACTGTTTCAGTTAACTCAGTTGGCGTTAGATAAACTTCATCGTCGCTAATGTCACTCATTTTAGTTGATTTTTTTGTACAGTTTTTAGGTTATGTTAATTATATTAAGCAATAAAACGTGAAAAACTAGAATGGCGCGAAGCACGCAAATAAAACAAAGAAACCAAGAAGGTTCCAAATTTAAATTTTTTCACAATTTAAAAAGTTCTAATCATAAATTTGGCACCATAGAGGTTACATTAAATAGGTTTAATGACGTTTTGAATTTACAATTATATTGAGTACTCATTATATGTGATGTTCTAAATTCAAATCTACTTTGCCGCTCAAGCGAATAAAATAGAATTTTCCAGCCAGATTTCGAAGCGCAAAATTACACTTTCCGAGGTGGTGGGATGAAAAGGTAATTTATTAATAAGTATACATATCTACATTTTTCTTTAGTGTTCAGTTTACAAAATCGCAAAATACAGTCAATACATTATTTATATGAATCAAATCGTTTTTTTTAAGTTGCTCTGATTTTTGGCGTTGTTGGAGCTTGCCGCAGTAGTGTTGAGTAGGACTTACAAGAGGCGGTACATTTGTCCCGGACATGACGTCAAAATGTAAGAGCGGCTCAAAATTTTAAAATGTACTACTTCACATTAAATGTCGCGATAGTCGCGTCTCGTTACTCACTCACTCTTCGTTAGTCTGAGAGAGAGCGAGGCATGACATTTCATTTAAGTCCTCTACGGTACAGTGCAATAGTACCTATCTCTCTCTTATCTTAGTAGTCTGTGTTACAGTGCGACAAGGATCTTGTGGAGCATCGCATGACACAAACTGGAAATAATGCTGTCTCACTGTGTTTTCTATAATTAATTTGCAGTACAACGCCCTCTTGTCAAAGTCATCCACACGCCAAATAATCCTTGTCAGTCGCACTGGGTTACGTTCAAAACCTACGTCCTAGGTGTAACAAATATCTAAGTTGACATTAGCTTCATACATTTGTCAAAATTTAAACGTCAGGGTAAAAGTTGCACTCAGTGCGTAGGTATTGAATGCAGCCCAGGGTTGCGTTCAGAACTTACGCTCCAGGTGCTACTCGTGCACACATACGTAATGTCGAGCATCTGTACGCCTCAAAGTCATATTTGTACTCCTCCCTTCAAACGTATTGCCGAGCTTCAGTACGCCTCGCCTCATTTGAAGTGGGACATTGTACTGGCTCAGTACAAAAAAGAGGCTACTCTTACAAACTCTTTTTCAAGTCGTGTCCTACCCAACACTATGCCGCAGAGAGGAGTTAGCCAATATTACTTTAAAAGATATTGAAGCCCATGGAGAAATGCTACTTATCAAGATTCCAAACACAAAAAATAAGATACCGCGAAGTTTTGTTGTTGAAGGAGATTTTCTCACAATAGTGAAAAAATATATGAACCAGCGGTCCCAAAAAGGAAAATCCGACCGTTTTTTTCAAAATTTCCAAAAAGGGAAGTGTACAGCTCAAGTAATCGGCATAAACAAATTTGGTAATATGCCAAAAGAAATAGCTTCGTTTCTTGGTCTGCCGGATGCTGAGTGTTATTCTGGGCACAGCTTCAGAAGGACCTCTGCTACATTATTGGCAGATTCAGGAGCCAATTTGACGTCCTTAAAGCGACTAGGTGGTTGGAAATCGGACAAAGTTGCAGAAAGCTATATTGGTGATTCATTAAACAACAAACTAGAAACTGGGAAAAAGATCACACAATCCATTAATTTAAGGTCCAGTCCGTCTCCTTCACATGCTGAAGAGAACGTTCGTCCATCTACGAGTACCTTCGTTGATAATGATAATTCATCAGATCCAATTCCATCAACTAGCAAACGCCATTGTATGACAAATATACATGAACAATCATACGAAATTAATAATAGTTTGTCTCAAACAGTAAATATGCAACGTAAAACTTCCCCAGTTAGTATAAAAAACTGTACCAATTTCAATGTATATGTGAATTATAACTTTTATCTATACTTATAATAAATCTGTAGAGATGTCAATTCTGTACATGAAATATATTTTTAAAATAACTATCAGGGGATGATTAGTGATCGATACTGATGCCAAAAATGCAATCAGTAAAATTTTTGTCTGTCTGTCTGTGTGTATGTTCCTTATAGAAACAAAAACTACTCAACGGATTTTAACGAAACTTGGTACAATTATTCTTCATACTCCTGAGCAGGTTATAGTATACTTTTCATCACGCTACAATCAATAGCAGCAGAGTAGTGAAGGGAAATGTTGGGAAAACGGGAGAAGTTACTCCATTTTTTAAGCTTCCGTCGCGGGTGAAGAGAGGGTTAAAGTTACATAGAAATCATGTATGACGGAAATATTCTACATAAAATTGTGTAAAAAATATCCCGCAACAGCATATGTCTATCTTTTATGGTTGACTCACAATAACACGTGTAATTATATAAATAAAGTCATTTTTTATAGCACAAGCCTGAGAACAAAAACTATAGTTTACACTACAGCTCTACACCGAAGCGAAGCCAGGGGGGGCCACTAGTAAGAAATAAATGATTTGTTAATTGAGTTTATTGTGTTTTTATAATTTGATTAAATTGCTTCATTTTTTCGCAACTGTATTAAAAATAGTCGTTCAGTACACGTACGGAACCGTCATTGCAACTCGTTCCGACTCGTTCCGACTCGCCTTCGGCTCGGGTAGACATTTGTCGGAACTCTGCAATGACAACCATTCCGTACTAGTAATGATATATACTATTCCTTCACCGTAGCTATTTCTTTTGATTGATCATTTTCAGTACTACTGTAGAACACAAAGTTTCCTTATGGACGGAATAGGAAAATTTAATATAATTCGAACTCCACCAAACGGCTGCATCGCATCGCATTGGAACGCAATGAAGACTGGGTAATTAATACCCCTCCTAGAAACCGTTACGCACTTGTGAAAACAAACTCACATAAACACGTGGCAACACTGAAGACGTCGCGTTGCAGTTGCCAATGGATGCAGATTGTAGGAGGCGTATTCCGTAAACAAAGCAGTGCTGTGTTTTTTACGCTTTATAATTGTACTTATTCGTAGAGTGCTTCAGTCAGGGCGGTCTGAAGGTGCGGCGGCTGAAGAATCTCAAGCGCCAAAGTCGCGTGGCGGGCGAGGTGGCGGGAGCGGAAGCTGGTGCGACGGCCGTACGGAAACAGGCGTCGGAGCCCGCGCCCGCTCCCTCCACCGCCGCGCATACGCCGCCGCTGCTCAAACACGACTCCTATCCGCAGTACCGCGATAAGGTAACACGCGAAATACCTAACAGAGAAAAAATCCCAAGCTCAAGGCCTTTTGCTTGGACATTTAAATTGTTTGGCAATAAATACTGCTAACAAGATTAATTTAAAATTATTTACAATGGCGTCAATGCTGTAATTTAAAATTATTTACAATAGTGTCAATGCTGGCTTCATTCTATAGTCTAAACCTGAACCTTGATTTTACAATAGTGTATCCTTGTGATTTTCCATACAGAATGAATAGAAGAAACTTATATTAAATTTTAAGTTTAGAGAAGCCTGCTAGCATCGGCGCCATTATTCACTACAATATACAGTCTGATGATTGATTCTTAGAAGCATTCCTCAAACTGTAAGTGAGAAAAATTTTTACGTACCTGTGCCACCTTATACCTAAAAATGGACCCACAGCACAAATTTGCGAGTATTTTTGTAAGTTCATTGTACACACTAATACTACTCGATTATAAATATATTGTCCATCAGAAAATAAGTAAGGTCTGGCAGCCTTGAGATCTTGGATTAGAAGTGTCTGTATTAATTTTGACTGCAAGGAAAATAAAGGCTCGGTGGAGGAATACGTTCGGCTGAGGCTGACGCAATTCCGCTGGCCATGGGTGGTTGGTGGAATTTGTAAATAAAATACAGTCAAAATAATACAGTTGCTTCTGGTGGCGGATATGTAGAGTTGTAAAATGTAATTCCGGACAATTCACAACTATTTTTATTATATTACCTCACGTAATCAATTTCATGTAACTGAAACCTGCGCATAGTTATTTTAACAGCGGACTTTAAAGGTTAGCCCACTTATACGACTCTGTTCCAATATACACTTCTGGACACATCTATTGGCCCACCTTAGAGTTTAGGTTTCGATGGCCCCTACCGATATATGATTGCTAGATTGAACAAAAACTGTTGATGCAGTTTTAAACCTGATTCATTTTACCATCTTTTTCGATCGTATTGATTTAAATTTGAATTCAGAATACCATACGACATGGAGCTACGCCTAACAAGTCGGATATGCGCCTTGTTAAAGGCAATTAATTTTTGAATAAAAAACATGTTTTATCAAATAAAGGTTTAATTTAATAACGCGTGTTGCCTCCATGGGCATCTACCACAGCTCTCATACGATTAGGCATAGAGTTTATCAACCGCTCTATGAAATTTTGAGGGATCATCTCCCATTCCTCTTCTATGGCAGTTTTCAACTCCTGCATCGTCTGGGCAACTGGCTGACGAGTCCTAACACGTCTTTTTAGCTCGTCCCACATATGCTCAATGGGGTTCATGTCTGGGCTTCTGGCTGGCCAGTCCATAACTGTGATGCACATCCCGAAGATATTCCCTGACGATGCCGGCCGCATGGGCTCTTGCATTATCATGCATAAAAAGGAAATTTGGGCCCACATAGTCCGCGTATGGTATCACGTGAGGTTCTAAGCACTCCCGAAGATACCTTTCAGCATTTAATGTTGGCAGCCGTGGTCCTGTAACAACCTCAAGTTGAGTTTTGCCGCTCGCGGATATACCGCCCCAGACCGCCATAAGCAACCCTCTCTTCAAAGCAGCATTGTGCGAAACGCTCTCCCTTACGTCGGTAGACCTTCTTCCTTCCATCATTGCCATGTAACACAATTTTAGACTCATCAGAAAAGAGTACACGGCTCCAATGTCCAATTTAAATGACTGCGTGCGAAATGAAGGCGCGCTGTTCGGTGGGCTCGCGTTAGTTTGGGCCCATTAGCTGGCTTGTGTGGTACCATATCGCGTTCTTTTAACCTTCTCCGAACAGTTCGAGCGCTCACAAATACTCCGTGGAAGTCGCGAATTTGTTTTTGTATCTGAATGGAGGTAAGGTGACGATTTCTCAAGCTGGTCGTCACGATAAATCGATCCTGCCTTTCAGTTGTGACCCGAGATCGTGGCCTTCCTTGGCGACGAACAAAGCCGCCAGCCTCTAGGTACCTCCGATAAACATTTCGGACCGCAGATCGACTTAAATTAAGTTGAGCACTCACGTTTATTTGCCTGTGTCCGGCCTGAATAAGTGCCACAGCTTAGGCGGCGACTTCAGGTGAAGTATCCATAGATTATTGATAGAACCTCACCTTAATGTTAAGAATAAGTAATGTTTGTTGCAAAACCAAAGATATCAATCACTTTTTCAAGAATTAAATCCAAGTAAACCAATAAAACCAAGTTTTCTTAGTATTCTATTGTTTGATATCAACAAACAGGCTCCAAATTGTCTTTTGTTTCTTTTAATTCTGTGTTCGAAAAAGACTACTGAATGAAATTGTGAATGTGCCAGGTTCAAATCTGCATAAAAACTTTTTGCTCGACCTAATATAAAATTTTAGCTAGGCCCAAACGAAACTGAAAATACAAGGTGGGCCAATAGATGTGTCCAGAAGTGTAACTCCCACCCAACACCGCCCTAAACTAAGGCGACTGCTCGTAGTCTACGCGGCGACAGCTAGCAGGCATCCAGCCGTCAGCGAATTGCTTGGTACTGATGCGAATAGAAGAATATCCTGCTAGCAGTCAGCGCGCGGACACCGCGCAGACCGCTTGCTTGCAACGGGTGGTAAGGGAGGCGTCAAAACTCGCTGACGGCAGCTCGCTGATATGTAAACTATATCTAAAGGGCAATACTTAAAGCAAATATTTTAATTATAATTATTTTTGCCGGGTGGGAGCGAAGTCGTGTAAGCGGGTTAAGATCTCAAAACCACCATAAAGCTCGAATCGCACATATAGAGCCGGAGGGCGTGGTCGCAGCCAGCGGGCGCGGAGCTGGAGATCCGCGCAGTGCGCTCGCTCCGGGTCGAGGGTGGCGGCGAGGAGGTACTGCGCGCGCGGCACACGCCCGCAGTGCGCGCGGGCCCGCCGCTCAGCTGCAACTTCTGCTGGAACACCGTCGACGACGCCGGACGTATCTTACGCAGGTATAATAAATATTTCTAACATTCACACCAATTAGCTTAGCCCCAAAATAAGCACTATAAGGCTTGTGTTATGGCATACTAGGGTAACGAATAGAATACATATACTGTACATATGTCCGTGATGCTAGCTTACACACGATCAATATACGGTTTTTCGTTATGCCATTAAATACTGCGTAAATAGTGCCAAATAAGTGTAAAAATAAAAAAAAAGTGCCTCTTTAATTTAAGAAATAAAGATCTTTTTTACTGTGTACGCTAGCATGACGTCAAGCTAGCGTACCCATGGCCGTCCCCAAGAACGGCATATATTTAAGCAACGAAATTGACACACAAAATTAGTACGCAAATAGTGCCCTGGCTTTACAAAAATTCATAATCAATACTCTTAAAGGACCAAAGATATTGAACTAAACATTCTTAGCCTACGTCAACCCGGCGTACCCATAATAGTTCTCATAGAAAATGAGCTTTTCTCGTTATCAATGCTATATGTATAAATAGTGTGTCAAATAGTGCCTCTAACAGTAAAAGTATTAAACAAATTATGACGGAACCTCTGATAGACAAAACATAAAAGTTTCAAACTTCAATACAATTATTTTCACTCTTACGTTTCAACCGCACATTTTGAAGTAGTTAGTTAGTATACAGCTTAATCTTTTTTTTATTTATATATTATAAAGCAGATCTAACTGTATTATTATCAGCCTATTAGTGTCCGCACTGTAGGGGTTCAGACCTTTCGTATGGATGAAATAGGGAGACTGGACCGGTAAGCGTGTTCGATCTGCGGTCGTTCAAGCTAAGAAACTTTCGCAATCATTTGTTGGGATGGGTGACCAACAACTTAGTATTACGAGCTCCTCCATGCTTTGGCAAGCACGTTTATCTGTTGGTCCTGGCTGCATCTGCAGTCGTTAGCACCCACCAATCCACACTGGGCCCGCGTGGTGGGTCACGGTTTAATCTCCCTATTCCATCTATAGGAATGGCCTGTTACATAGCAGTGGGGACATTAAAGGTACAATTCCGCAATAGGCTGCAGGCGCCACTGCGGCTGACCATACATTATATGCATTGTGCAGCCGCGGCATGTCGCCGCGCTCGGAATCGATTTCATAGAGATTCATAGAAACTATTAGTGTCGCCTGCAGTCTGCAGCTGCGGCCTGTGGTCTGCGGTTCAGTTCGGACTTGTACCTTAATAGGCTGATGATGATGATATGTTTAATAGAAAGACACAGTATCACTGTCCCGAGTGCCGCAAGAACTTGTGCATAGTGCCGTGCTTCCATGAATACCACGATGATGCTACTGCGCCCGCCACCGCTGTCGCTGTCGCGGCCGCTCCTGCCTCCGCTTCCTCCGCAGACGACGCCGCGAGGTGAGCGACAACCGACACGCAACACTAACGACTCTGAGAGACAGCATTGATGCCTCATGGCGACTATGTATTTTCATTATTACAAGTCGTATATAGTCATTAAAACATGACTTAGTCAAAACGCAGCCAACTGTGACTATGAATACGTACACCTCACAAAATCAACAGTGACCAATATGCTCGAAGTATGTACTAAGTAATTGTACGAACGGAGGCGTTTTATTTGTTCAAAAATGTTCGGTCATCAAAGCTTCGCGTATAAATTAATTATTTGTGGAAAGTGATTTTGTGTAACCATTGCTGTGAAATTTTGTAAATATTATTTTATTTAAATTTAATAGAATGAATAGGATACAATTTGAGTGTTTATTAGTCGGATTATTAAATAGAAAGAAATTCTTGTAGAAAGATTGTTTACAATTTTAATAATCTTTTTCTTTAATATCGTTGTTATCGTTACTTAGCGTATAGTTAAACAAATTAATTAATGTGTATTATACACGTTTATTTAATTATATACATTTTACTATTATTACAACACTGTGCGTTGTAAACCAGATTTTAAGCGTCCGTTAGCAATATATGGTTAAATATGGTTTTTGTAAGATAATAACTTCTAAATGTTTTTATAAACCGTCTTCACGAATATCTGTAAAAAATAGCACTAATAATATTTACATTTCTCATGCAATACTGTTATGTTCACTTGACTATTTATGAAACGGCAGTGCAATATGTATATTTATAAGTACTATAAGTAGTGTATTTTTATATTTAATTTTATTATTTAAAGGTACGTCTTTACATACTGCACCGCGACGAAGGCATATTGTGGACTAGATTTATTTATTTGCGTTTGTGAAACATTCAGTTTTACACAAATCAATTAAATAACCACAGACTGAAATATTTATACGCTTACATAATTTAGACGAAGTAACGTACAATTCAGTTATGTGAATACAACAAAGACCATGATATGTAAAAAATATGGTAAGAAAAATAATTAAATATTATTATTAAATTACAGAGTGTTAGGGTAAATAACCGTATAGACTTGAATAGATGAAAATGCATTGCAGGTAGTCCCGCACTGCAATATGTGCATGGTCTTATTGGAATATCAAATTAGGTTTTAAAATTAAAACTTTGGTAAACTATGATGCAAATTCCTTGATTGTTTTCGCACTTGTTTGTTAACTATACAGAATCTCAAATTAAGTTTCTTCCGACATGTGCGTAAATGTTCAGTAAGAAGTATGAAAATAATTCTTGTCTTTTCCTTATGGTGCTTTCTTATGCCGTTTTGTCATTTATTATTTGTTATTAATCTTTACATTATTATAAAATTTGATTCATTCATAATAATAGTTTTGAGGATTTTGAAATCTGAACTATATGTTTTGTACCAATTACATATAATTATATTTTGTAAATAATACACTTTGTTCTAAGTAGGTAATTCACCACGCATTCATGATGCTTAATGGTGAAATAATATTTTATTAATACATAAAAATATTTTATACTTATTTGTGTTCAAATATAAAAAATATATATACAGCTGTTTGAAAACGTGTACATAATATTATATTACATTGTTTTGAAAGTGTATTTATATCGAATTAAGTAAAAGTTAGTGTTGAATAATTATCTCTCACAATAATAATAATTATCTTACAGAGGTGGTCATAAAATTAAGAACGCTTAATTAATACTTAGCTTTCAAATTTAAATGACAGTAAATTAAACAGTAGTAATACAATATATTTCCTAATTTCTTTTTCGATTATGTTAGTCTTCTAAAGGTATTAAATAACAGTATAGTCAATATTTTATCAAGAAGTAATACTTTTTTGTTATGAACATTGTCATTTTAAAATGTTATATTTGCTAGAAGCGACCAACACTGTATATTTATAAATTAAATATTTATTATAAAAAAATATCTCATCAGCGCACATATCATTCTACTATTTACTATTGAAGACGGTGACTCAATAGAGATATTTCGATTATCAGGTGTTAAAAGTGGAGGACATAACTCGGTTCACTGATTTCTTTCAAAATAGCAGGAATAACGATTGTTGAATTCTTAAATGAAGTATGTTTAGAAATACTTTTTTAAAACAACTTTGTGATTAAATAGGCGTCCGCAACTTTGTAAAGCGTTTTAGTACAAAATGACCATGTGCTTGATAAATTTAGCCATATTAATATTTTTCATAAAAAAAAAATTTTGGAGAAATTATCTCAACATAAACATGAAGTAATGCACTGGTCATATAAGTTGAACTTGGCTTATTTAAGATGTTTTATGACGAAGAAGAATACAAACAAATATTTAATTTCTGTGTTGATACAGAAGATTTGACAATATATATTTAAATGGCCCTAAGTCCACAAAGTGATGTATAAGGGCATTTTGTCCTAGAATATTAGGGTGCAATGCTCCACTCCTTTAGGTGCATAATGTTTGTAACTATAAAATAAGCAACATGATCAACAGTGCGGAGTGGTCAGTGATATGGGAAATCGCAAAGTCTGCGATAAACTTCAGATTTATTCTATTAAAATTAAGTGTGTAATTTGCTGTAATAGCATTTACATTAAAGATTGTCTTGTTAATACATAGTAGTTTTGAAAAATTTTATGATTCCGAGTCGATTCCAACGAAAGTTATTATAAGCAATAATCTATGGTGATAAGAAATTGATAGGAAGTACTTTTATCATTATTGAAATCAGCTACGACGCCTACGACCTACTGATAAGATATTGTTATAAAAAAAAACCCATGATGCCATGTTCTCTATAAATCTATTATTAAATGTGACATTACTTATTTTAAGAAATTTTATGTACAAGCGAAATATATAATGTTATCGAAAAACAAGAGGGTATATAAAATAATTGGAAAATATTTTTGGTAAAATTTGTGTAAATAATGTAAATATTTTTTTGTTTTACCAGTGAAAAGTCAAAAGTAAGACGTGGGACATTATAGAAAGTTTTAATGTATTTTTGTAAATTTGTTACATGTTTAGGTTATAACCTACGTGGTGTCGACACAGTGCAATGTGTATATTTATAAGTTGTCGTCGACAAGTTTGTCCTGAACGTTAAGATAAGAAAAAATGTCAGCTGACGTTATAATCCCATCCGCAGACCTAGCTTTAAGCAGACAACGCCTGTACTTCAAACCGTGTGATTATTGATAACCAAGCGTGTTAAATACTGATAGTACAGTCAATCTGTAGGTTGAGTGGTGAAAAAAAAACCTAAAGGGTAAGTCTTGTTTTTTCTGTTGCCAAATGACGCCAGTAAGCCACCTTGGCGATGGGCATGTTCAACTCGTAGGCGTTTTTTGAAAAACTCAAAAAACCCCTTAAAATTTTTTTGAAACGCATTTTTCTTGTTTTGTATGCATTTTAGAAACTTTGTTTTCGACCATAATTGTAGAGGGCGTTGATTACTACAATTTATGTCAATGTTGCAATCTCGTACAACAAAAAATGCGCAATTGTAGGTGGCGCTAAAGTCTCAAAAAAGTGTTTTTTCACTTTTTCACCTTGAAAATATCATTTAAATGGAAAAGTTGTTCCGTACATAATTACCAACAACTTTTGTATATACAATTTTTTTGTATTACTTACCGTTTTCAAGTTATAAATTGCGCAGGTATGAAAAATCCAATAGAGCGGTTTTGGGCAGTTCAAGTACACATTTGCAGTGCACATTTCAATGTACGTATTACTATTTTTTATTTTTTTTCATGATTGTAATAGTTTACTAATGTACTTTGTGAATAGAGTAGATGGCCGAATTGGCCCACTGTGTTGGCACTCACTGTATTGTATACGTAGCGCTGTATTGCACTATAACTTGTAAACTAAGTAATTTAAAAAAAATGTTTATACATAAGTGGTAATTATGTACGGAACAACTTTTCCATTTAAAGTTTTCCATTAAAATGATATTTTCAGAGTGAAAAAATACTTTTTTGAGACTTTAGCGCCACCTACAATGCGCATTTTTTGTTGTACGAGATTGCAACAATGACATAAATTGTAGTACTCAACGCCCTCTACAATTATGGTCGAAAAAAAAGTTTCTAAAATGCATACAAAACTAGAAAAATGTGTTTCAAAAAAATTTTGAGGGTTTTTTTTGAGTTTTTCAAAAAAACGCCTACGAGTTGAACATGCCCATTGCCAAGGTGGCTTACTGACGTCATTTGGCAACAGAAAAAACAAGTCTTACCTTTTAGGTTTTTTTTTCACTGAAACGATTTTTTTTTCGACAGATTGACTGTACTATGAGTACTCACGAAAATTAATTATTAAGTGGCGGAAAAGGATGGACGCCGGCCACCCGTTTCAATTCCAAAATTTTATAGCTTAATTAGACAAAAATTGTAGAAGCCTGCAGCAATATCCGGGGACTGCTGAGCTTTCTGGAGGAGCTGGGATGGCAGGACTGATACCATCCCCACGCAAAATAGGCACTGGGTGTCGAGTTGCGGAAACAGCCCGCCGCGCCGTACTACTAAGGCTAGACAAAAATTCGTATGACGTCTGGTATGACGTATGAGAATGCTGACGCGAAGATATAAATTGCGTCAAAAGGAAGATTTTTGGTCTCCCTGTTGGCATGTTTTTGGCACACGAAGTATTACAATAGCGTTGTCTGTTTCGATCTATGTATGTGATCCCATCCGTCTGTTTCTCATAGATGGAAGTCCAATGAGCCTGTAAATTCCATGCCAGGGAAATACAATTTATTTCCCCTAGGTAAATGTAAAAGGAGATCATGTCTGTCCATTTTAATCCACATTACTATTATAAGCACTGTTTATTTTGTAGGATTGAACCAGACAAATTAATAGTTCCGTTTTTAAAGTATGCTGATAGCTTGGATTTTTTAATTCAAAATTTACAATCTATACTTGGAAAATTACTACGCTGTCACTATACCATTAAAAGGAGGGCTTAGTGGAATAAGCGACAGTAAATTTTGTATAAGTGATACAGAAAATAAATATAACTTGTATTTTGTGATAAAAAAGACTTGTTGTGTTGTTTCTTACGACTGATCCGTGTAATGGCACTCGCGAATTTTAAATAATTATAAATATAATAATAATGTATTGTTCATCTGATTGGAATCAGACCAAAACTTTGTTCTTATCTACTTCAAAATGTGTGACGCACACGCGATTACTAGTACTCATGACAAAAAATTGGACATTAAGTACTTTGCTTGGATTTCTTGAGTTCTGTGCTAGGAGAATAAATATAGCAAGACAAGACAGTGTAGTGTTAACGTAAATAATGCATAAAAAGGATTTATTGCCGAAAAGAATACCTTTTACAAAATTAGTGTAAACCCCATTTCATTGACAAAAAAAATAATAATCAATAGATAGTCCGAGTCGAATATGCGTGTGGACTGAGTGATCTTTTCAAAAAACTCATCCAATCACAACCAAATTATAAGAGGATTTAGGAAATAATTGTGAAAACTTAATGGTAAGGTATAAAATTTGTGAAACCTAAACAAAGAAAGTTAGAACTAATTAACTTGATCACTCAATCTGGACACTTGAAGAATAAGCCATAACGCGTATCCAAGAAAATACTACCTATGTGTTTATAATTTGTATTTGAAATAATTGTGAAGAATTTGTGAAAGCTGCTAAACAAATTTTCGGTTCATTTCAAAGTCACGTTTAAGATTTAGAACGGTTTTTATGGATCACTCAGAATGCACTATGTTCATTTGAGTGATCTTTTAAAACACTATCTTATACTGTAAAAGTATGAAACATTATCATGTTTGTTATAAATTATGCTTCTGAGAAAATTTGTGAAACAAAGATCGGGATTGAAATCTTACTGGTTTAAGAGAAAATGAAAATCTTGTTTTTCCTCGATCGTCCCAACTGAGTGATCCTTATCTTGAACTATATTTAATAAACCCAAACTTATAGCCAGAAGGTAGTTACATCAGAAATTGTGAAAAATGTTGTACTAAAATTTGACGAACCAATCGTCCCAGTAAGTGTTATATTTTAAAAGATACACATTTTTCACAATTTCTGATGTAACTACCTTCTACCTATAAGTTTGGGTTTATTAAATATAGTTCAAGATAAGAATCACTCAGTTGGGACGATCGAGAAAAAACAAGATTTGCATTTTTTTTTGCTCTTAAACCAGTATGATTTCAATCCCGATCTTTGTTTCACAAATTTTCCCAGAAGCATAATTTATAATAAACATGATAATGTTTCATACTTTTTCAGTATAAGATAGTGTTTTAAAAGATCACTCAAATGAACATAGTGCATTCTGAGTGATCCATATAAACCGTTCTAAATCTTAAACGTGGCTTTGAAATGAATCAAAAATTTGTTTAGCAGCTTTCACAAATTCTTCACAATTATTTCAAATACAAATTATAAACACATAGGTAGTATATTCTTGGATACGCGTTATGGCTTATTCTTCAGGTGTCCAGATTGAGTGATCCAGTTAATTAGTTCTAACTTTCTTTGTTTAGGTTTTACAAATTTTATACCTTACCATTAAGTTTTCACAATTATTTCCTAAATCCTCTTATAATTTGGTTGTGATTGGATGAGTTTTTTGAAAAGATCACTCAGTCCACACGCACATCGAGTCGAGAGTCCCGCTCATTGCACGCGTTTTACGCGCGAGTGAGGATACGCGCGTAGGCATCTGGACGGGATATATGTAGCTCTAGTATCTCGGGTACACGCGAGTGGACTCGCGCGTAGAACGCGTCACCTGGACAGGCAGGCTCTTACGTTTATGTAGTGATGCACTCGGATTCTGTTTGACGGTCTACTGAATTGAATAGTCGTTTATTTGGATCTCCTGATATGAGTTTACAGATCTTTAGAGTGTCATATGCAGTTCCTAAGTAATAGTCTAACATCCGACCTATCATTAAAATTTGATGCTATTTGAGAATACGTGCTAATAACATGTTTTACTTGTATTATGTAATTTCGTCATTTATTGTTGCAATATCCAATCTTCTTGTAAATAAGATATTCTAGAGGCTCAAGTCTGTGTACTTTTGCCTTTAATTGGTGTTTTCAATTGTACGCGACTGTCGCGTCATTATTGAACGGACATCAAATGTCCCTATACCGAACTAAAATTGCAGGCTCCTTGCGATATATTTTAATCGAATTGGATCTATTAAAAAAATGCGCAAGCAGGTAGTGTGACTGCTTGGGCTACAGAAATGACTGAACTTCTATCGCCATACTGTGTTTTAGTTTATTCGTCTTTTTAAATGCAAATATTTAATGTTATCAAATTTGGACTGCTTTTTTCTATATCAGTAATTTGGTGATGATAATTAGTAATAATATGATATATTACGTACGTATTAAGCAAAAAATATTGTGTTATTATTGATCATAGTAATTGATTGGATCCAGGTCTCATAATTAGTGTCTTTAAAAATTGCCGACTAATATTTGCCGGCGAACTTTTCTGTAATACAGAATAAATTTGATAGTACCACTGTCATATTCGAAAGTATTGAATGAATAAAGTCTTCTTTTCAAATATTAGTATTTTATTTTATCACACACAAATGAAACATGTCATCTCTTTCAGAAACTAGTATCATTTATTTCTTTGCATACTTAAAATGGCAGGCCATGCATAAATTGATCTTAATTAAGATTACATACAATTCATACGTTAGTTGCCTTTAAAACAAAGTAAAACTTAATATAGGTAGGTATTAAACACTTTATTATGACAAAACTAATACAACTAACTAAACAATAAATTGGTCTAGATGTGATTTAATACGCATTTGTACAAGGTAAAACTTATGTTTATTTAACAAGAAACAACCCTAAATGGTTTCATATAAAATATTAGGCAAATTTTAATCTCACAAAAGATTTGGTTTAGGTATTGTTCTTTGATATCAAGTGCCATAGTTGAATCAATAAAATAATTATGTTATTTAATTTTTAGTATGGACATACATATTAAGAAGTTTTAAAGTATCACTCAAAACAAAGAATGTAACTAAATCTCGTTTGTGTTACATCTATCAGTCTCACTAATATGTCAAAGCGAAAAAGTATGCACTATTTTAGATAAAGTTTGCAGTAATAAATATTGTGAAAACAATACATTTTGTTTAATGTAAATTTATAAACTTAGCAATTTTGAATGACATATTGCCACACGAAATTAGCTTGTTATTAAAATTTGCCAAACATTTTAATTTCAATCATTATATTATAGTACTTAAAAAAATATAATATATAATTTAACAGGCGAAATAAGCTTCTCTCGACTTATATTTATTTATAACAAAGATTAAAACGACTAAGAAAATAAAACATTTACGAAAGAAGCACCGATTGTTTCATATTTAAATTTAAAAAAGCGGTTTGAACTGTTAGTGAAAATAGCATTATTTTATGGTACACTGATGTTAAATTCAGTTTTTATGAAGAGGTCTATTCGGACTTTTTCGAATGATACAAAATGTATCATGAACTGTTTTTAATACAGAGGTAAAATTAAAGGAAATAGCAACATTATACTGGTTCAGTGAATGTGATCGTAACAATACACGAGGCATTTATTTGATTTTTACATAATACGTCTAACGTTATAAGAGTGGTATATTATTATTACTTGTAACAATTAACATAATAATTGAAAGCTTTTCAGTGTTGTTTTTTTCTGCCAAGTAACATTATTGACAAAGAAAAACATAAAAAACACATTTCTCTCACATTTTCTATCTTAAACATTTAACACTAAAACATTTTTATTACTGCAATACTGATATGCACAGATTTACAGTAGTCATCTGACTTAAAAACTGTAGGTACATTAAATTAAATGATTTTTGTCTAAAAAAAAAGTTAAGTTAGTTTTGTCAAGGATATCGGTACTATCGGATAATTTATGAAATCATTATTTATTTAAATTCATGTTGAATGAAAGATTGAACACCCTTCATTGCCATGTCGTTTCATGTTGTTTATATATGCTTAATATGTTCAAGTAGCCGACTTCGTTTCGGAAATTGATATTGATAAAGTTAAACATTATTGAATTCTTAATTTAAAACATTGATAGAAGCCATTATTTTAATTGAATAATTTTAATATGTCCTAGTTAACTATTTTTAGTGGGACAAAAAGTTACATGCAAGTACAACGTTGGTTGGTTGTCGCAACTGTAGTTGGATTGGTTGGTTTTATTGTAGTGCCTAGGTTAAATAAGACGATATGTAAGCCCCTGCACACAGAAAAGTTTTGTGTTGTTGTCAACCCACCTAAAATAGTGATCTTACAAAATAACTCACTCAAGTATTTTATATCAAATCAAACATAAACAACCATGAGTTTCACCTAACATTAGTGAAAAGTTAGAGAACAGACATTCTTGGTTATCTTGCCTAAAAAACAATGATGAAATAACCCTTATTTAACAAGTACTTAAAAGAAAAATTCAAGAATTAGCAATAAGTCTTGATTTTATATTCTGTGTAAATATGTATATTTTTTTGGCAGTACACATATTGATACATACAATACATTTATCCCACACAGTGGTACTGGCACGTAAATTTGTGTTACCTTATTTACAAGAATGTCCGAATTTGTTCATAAATGAACTGAGCGCCTACTACAAAATTAAAACAAGACTAAATAATGTTTAAACATTTAAACCTTATTTAATGAGAAATAAGGACTATAACAAGGGCTGAGTAGACCTTCACAGTTTGGAGGGTCACTGACCTCTTCAGATCCCACAATTTCTCCTTAAAACGATATTCTTTTACCTCAGCCCATAAAAAGTACATATAATATTAACACACCTTCATATGTTTATATTATACATAATACTCACTTAATCGAATGAATTTAAGAGTAAAAACAGAGCTTGAAAAGTTGTTCACAAAGCGCATAAACTCATAGCTATGCGATTTGCAATAGAATTTTGAACATTCAACTACAATTGAAGGAACAGTACATTTAATGTTATTTGACAATAATACTTACATAATTAACAATGAGTCCAGAAGTTATAATAAATCAGATCTGACATAACAACAAAATATAAACAAATTAAACTCATAATTATCAATTATATATAAGTATGTAAATATAAATATATTCAGTTTAGATACCTACCTATCTTCGTTTCATTTTAATACATAAAGCTTGTAAGAGGACCACATAAACAATACACATAATAATCTTGATAAAATTTAATACTTAAACTACTCTGACGCGTAAACATGAGATGAAAGAATGCCGATTGCATCAATCATAAAATTCGGTGTTCTTTTCATATAATTATATATAATTTAATTACTTAAAAATATGTATATATTATATACACATACAAGACACCAGCAAATCATGAATAATAAGGGTTGCCTCTTGCCTAATACGTTTAATTCATAAATCCACGCTTTGCAGATGAACCTACGCTGCTATTCGTGATTGTATGATGCTGAGCAATAAACTTTCGAGCTGCTCTGTGATCATGTTTTATTTTGTCCGGTGAAAGAAACTGCTCGTATCCGTTCCATGTAGTGATATAATAGTTTATTTTCCGATACCTTTTTTACTAGAACAAGAGTACTTGAGGAACTCTCACGACCTGTCCCGAACGTACTCTGTCAAGAAGCCGCGCTGTGGGAACAAAATAATATAGCCACACAAAAAGCAGCACAGTATATTGTTTATTTAATCATTATAATGTAAGAGGCGCGAATTGACTAAATAGAGCATAGCACAGCACGCCGCAGTATAGCTTTATGTTGATTGGTCACCCTCCATGTATTATAGGTACATAAAAGTGATTGTATTGGAAATAAATAGTAATTTAGTATAACAAAATGTGCTGTTGATTATTCTTAGTTTTCCTTCTACGATAATTCTCAGTTTGAATTCTATAGTACCTAAAGGTTGGATCAGTTTTAACTATTAAAGGTTCGAATTATAGTTTATTTTCTATTATATAACTATCTTCATTAAGATCTTTTCCTTCTCAACCCATATTTTTACAAATGTAAAATGTTACTGAATATATATCCGGAATTGGAGAAATTATTAAAATGATAAATAACTGACACTCACAGCAATGTGTCTAGCTTCTTACTCAGCCTAGCTTGTACTATGAGCACCAGATAACGTAAATTGCTGACTTGCATAGTTCTATAGGTGGCCTATGAGCGCGGTACCAAGCGATGCTCTTTGCTTTGATGTGTGGCTTTAGCCTTAAAGTATCATGTTAATATCGGATTACTTCAAAAGTTCTTTAAGATAATTAATTGTAGTTCACACACACGTTTACTTAGTACGCAACCTTCGACGTGGACAGCGTTCACAAATCTATTTCACTTGTTTGTCTGCATAACCTGATTATTAATACCACTAGATAACACTCTTTGTATGCCGCCATACAATTGTATTGCGGCTGTGTTATCTAGTGGACATAGTAGCGTACTTCGATAAATTCCAAATGAAAGGCGGTCATAGAAAATGAGATTTACATAGTAACTTATTGCAACTGTCCTTATGAAAAGAATAGTTTCAATAAATCTAAATAATTATTGTAAATTAAGTAAATCATGAAATGTTCTTATTTTATTGAATACTTACAAGATTTTACAACTTTCAATTATTGCAATGAAAGGACATCACTTAATATAAAATATAAAAAACATAGTCTAGAATAATCTAGTAATTTGAACGAGTTCTTTCGTCATTTTAAAGTCTTACGTTCCTAACAATGAGGAATGTATAAAATCCAAAAATAATATAAAGCAAATACTTTTACATAATGTCATAAGTTAAATTGAAATCATTGTATATTTTAAATTACATTGCATTATTCGTAATCGCTGAATGTTCAATAGGCCATTATGAATATCTATTTATATATATATGGACACGACATGCTTTACCGACTATACCTGAACAGTAAATAGAGTTACCGAAAGATCAATAAAATGAATAAAACTGATACTCTTATCAAACATTATGTGTAATGTAATGCCGGCTCTTCACCGTAAACATGACATGAGTCGGTCCTTTTCATTCCTTGTAGAGCATTAACAAACACAAGTAGCCAAGTGAAGTGCCGGCTTTAAATAACGACAAAACCTACGATATTAGAAAAGAAAGGTTTCGTGATATATACATTGATATAAAAACAATATGTTATTTGCTTTTTATCATTCTATAAATAATAATTTTGCATATAGACATTGTGACAACATGTGTCGTCAATTATTGCGAATAAAATATTTTCCACGAATTTGTAAAACGAGGTGGAATTGCTTGCGTCAATTTTTCAACACTAAAGTTATAATTGAATGGTCATTAGGTGGTGAAAAATACATTGAAACTATTGAAAATAGCTGCATTATACTAACAATATTTTTTTTTATGAAGATATTTTGAGTTTCAGCGCCAATGGGCATAAAATGTGTAACTTTTACTCCCTTTAGCATTTGACATTTAGAGACACATTGACGTTTGCTAAAGCACGAAAGGAGTTAAAATTAGACACCGGACCCCCAATTGTCACAAAAGACGTCACTTATCACATGTATACCTATAGTAGAATAGTACAGTTAAGTTTCCATGGCATCATTAATCCTATAACGAGCGTGACGGACTATCTGAAACAAAGCAAAGGTTTTGTAATTTTGGCTCTTATTATGAAAGCCTACGTCTTTCAGTTCACACAAGTCTGTAGGTCAGTTCAACCGTATTTTATTTATTAGACGACTGCTAGTGTGTTAATGTTGTGTTCTCGCTATGAGAAACTTTAGAAATCTTCATCGAGAATAAGTAAAATATGAGGGGGCAAACCTACGTACAGGCCTGTGCAATGAGCTTTATAATATGCCGTAATTTGGTCTGCATTCGCGAGAACCAAGTAACTAAGCCTGTTCATTCTTTAAGCACTCAATATATTGTTTTCTTTATCCCTAAAAATATGTTTCTTTCACGGGATTGCCCGTTCTTACAGGCCTGATACCTCTACACTATCAAGTTTATAGCTGAAAGTAGGAGGGACTGAAAGTTTATTTTTGCTATTTTAGCATTCCTTCTATATAAATTTATTAATTTAAGTTGCGAACAGTATACTGCCTTTCGCGACACGTCTTACCGTCGGGCGGGGGGCTAGCCACGCCCACTTGCGACAGGTCGCGCGCGTCCAGGAGACCGAAAAAACGAAATTTCGATCGAAACTTCGCACTTTCCTTACTATGTTTCTGGTTCTTTTTTAATTCTATTTGATAGTTTATAGATCAAATTAAGTATAACCTTAAATTAACGAAATTAAATTTCGTTTGAACTTCGTTAATTCGTTATCGAAAGTTCTGTTCGGAGAAAAAGAGTAGATCCCCCCGTTATATCCAAGTTGCGGACAGTATATTGTAGCGACTCTCACCGGGACAGGACAGGGCGGGTCTAGCTGTTGAGCAAGTCCCACAAATCGTCGGGCTGCCTGTTGCAACCCGCCTTTACGGTCGGGCGGGGGGCTGACCGCGCCTACTTGCGACAAGTTGCGCGCGTCCATGTTATATCTAAGTTTCGCCCGGTCCACTCGTTGGACCGGGCCTGCCCGGGGGCGTGCTCGGAGATGTGGCGCACGCAGGTGCGTCAGCCCCGAGACCGCCCCCATATGGGCGTAGGAGGGTACCGGGGGGTTTAGTGTAGTAGGATCAGTGTGGCCTTCCGCACTGGTCCTGCTTGAGTACGGTCGGCACTGTTTCCCGTGCCGGCGAGTCCCACACACGCCGTGCGCCTAGTCAGCGTCACGGTATGGTGCGTAACTGAATTTCCCCTCGTCACAAAAAAAGAAAAAAAAAAGGTTATATCTAAGTTACGGGCAGTGTATTGTGGCGTAACTCACCGGAACAGGACAGGGAGGGTCTAGTTGTTGAGCCAGTCCCACGAGTCGTCGGGCTGCCTGTTGCGACCCGTCTTACCGTCGGGCGGGGGGCTGGCCACGCCCACTTGCGACAGGTCACGCGCGTCCAGATTATTCCGTGCCGCCACAGACTCCTTCCACGGCTGGCTTTGCTCGTTCCTACAATTATTACGATACAAATGCGTTTATCTCAACGGTCAAATGATATCCAACAATTAAGCTTAGGACTAATCTAGGATCAATGCCCAAAATAAGATAAAAAGAAGCGGACAACTCAATATTTTTTTTCAAACCCAGGATTTTTTTTTAATAAGTTTTACGGGCTTGAATTTCTCCATTTCGGCTATTCATTAGTACATTTCATCATTTTATACGTTTTCGAAAGTGTTCATTACATATTCAAATAATATAGGATATGTATTAGTGTTTTGTATGATAGATGGCAATTGGCTGGGTATTCTGCAGTTATTATATATCTCTATTAAGCCATCTATCAATAACATTCTCTGTATAAAGAAGGCAGGACATTCTAAAATAAGATGCTGTAACGTTTCCACACTCTTGGATTTACAATACCGACAATCGTTTTGGTCTTCGAGTTTAATCCTGTTTAAATGCTCTCGGAATCTTCCATGACCAATTCGTAAGCGGTTCATAGTTGTAATATATTTTCTAGATGAATTTTTCAATTTTAGGTGCCATGGCTTCTTGGGTATCACATCTTGAATGTTGGCATACCATGCTCCTTTAACTTTTCTAGTTTCTTCCCAATACTTATTCCACGTCAAATACATTCTGTCTTTTATTGCACTATAAAAATCCGTAAAAGGAATTGAGGCGTTTTCGTGAACTGGAATGTCGAAAGTACCTTTCATCAACGAATCAGCTATTTCATTTCCTGTAATACCTGAGTGAGATGGCACCCATAGAAATTCAACAATTTTTCCCATATCGTATAGAACTTTTAAAATTTCTTTTGCAGAATATATGTATATGTTATTCTTATATGATAATGTAGTATTATCCAAACATTTCAATACACTCAGTGAATCTGTGACAATCAAATACTTTTTCGGTAACATCTTTTTTATATATTTCAAAACTTCATGGATAGCATATGCTTCTGCCGTAAAAATTGATGTATTGTTATGTAATCGAAAATATCTGTCAATTTTCAATGTAGAGTCATAAAAGGCTGCCTTCATATCATGCGTAGTCTTGGAACCATCAGTGTATAGTATGCGATGTTCTTTTCTCTCACTATTATTTATGAAACTCAAAAATTCTTCATTGTTCGTAATTTTAATGTCATTGCATATCAAAGGTTTGACCATATGTACCTCTAACGAGCCACAATTCCACTTGTCCGTCTTATAAACATTTTTATACAGTTCTTGTAGTTCTTCTTTATCCTTATTTTCTAAATAGATATTATTGTTTAAGTACATATTGCTAATTTCAACGTTACTATACATTTTTACAAGGAATTTCTCAGCTAAATATTTGACCCTAATATGTATCGGTGGTATACCTGATTCTATTTCTAGAACATTGATAGGGGACGAACACATTGCTCCAGTAATAAGACTTAAACCTTTATTCTGTACAACTTCTAATTTTCTAATTAAACTATTATTAACAAATTTACTATATACAATAAGACCATAATCATAATGGCTCCTAACTATAGCTACAAAAATCATAAAAAGTATTTTAGGATCCATTCCCCAGCTAAGACCAGCAAGACATTTTAAAATATTGACACGTTTTTGCATTTTAATAACTACACTGTATACATGAGCATTAAAAGACATTTTGCTGTCGAATATGATTCCCAAAAATTTGTGCTCGAAAACTTCCTTGATTTTATGGGAATTTATTACTATATTTACATTACTATTACATAAAGATTTACTGAATAACATAAAACTGCTCTTGGCAGGGTTTAATTCTAGTTTTAACAGCTTTTTGTAATACAAATTTATTTCATCAAGGGTTTTATTGATTATAATCTGAGCTTCACTTATATTTCTAATGGAGGTATAAACGACGAGATCATCAGAAAATTGTAACATTCTGACATTATTAAAATTGACAAACCTGTGAATACCAGCGGTGTACAACAAATAAACCAAAGGAGATAACGATGCGCCTTGCATTACACCCTTAAAAACTAGCCTAGGACCATAAAAATTGTTATTAAATTTTATAGAAATTTGTCGACCATAAAAGAAATTAAAAATAAATTGCAATATCTTTCATGGGATGTTCAAAGAGTTTAAAATAACAACTAAAGTTTCTAAATCTACATTATCAAAAGTACCTTTGACGTCTAAAAAGACACTTATTAAATTGGAATATTAACCACAAAGCAGTTGTAATTCATTACAGGATTATCATTAGAAAAATCATAATGGCTTCGCAAATTTTTCGAGGCTTTTGTATATTCTTCCCAGTTAGTTTGCCTAAATAGAAATCTATCTGTTTTGTTAATTATTTGATAATAATTAGGCTTAATTTGGATGGTAACCATTGTTGGATAATGATAACTACCTAAGTAATCATCATAAAACACAGACCAATTACAAGAAGGCATTAGGTTCGAAGATACGAAAGCTACATCAATAGCAGACGGTGAATTATGTGGACGATTGACTGTGGTACATGATCCGTCATTCAAAATGCACAAATTAAAATCATCCAGCATGTCGTAAATTTGTATTCCTCTTTGTTTATTGGTAGCACAACCGAAAGCAGTATGATGAGCGTTTAAGTCTCCTAATAACAATAAGGGAGTCGGCAGCTGTCGCATTATACTTTTGAGAGTATTTATTGGAAAACGTGTTGTTCGAGGAGGACAATAACAACCTAAAATAGTGAGAGGACCTGATATTGTTTCAACACTTATGGTAATATTTTGAATGTTTTCAGTGGAACGAGTAATAATTAAATTACATTTTAAGTTTTCTTTGTAAAAAATTGCAACACCACCATGACCATTACTTAAATCCTTCCTTAGTAATTTATAATATGGTATATTAACATTTGCGGTTGGCTTAAGCCAAGTTTCATTTAAGATTAATATGTCAATACTATTATCAAAAAGAAGATTCTGTACTAAAGGTAATTTCTGCTTAAGACTTTGTATGTTGTGTTGACATATTAGTAAATTGTTTAAGTTACAATTATCCATTATTAATTTATATTTTGAATAAAGAGTTCTTTAATTGTTTGCGAGTTAATAGGTAGTTTATTTTCCTTATTGTACATCATTGTAAAAGTTTTGACAAATGCATTCATAATTAAATCATTATTAACAAATTCAATTATTAAGTCCTTACTATCTAATTTATGCGGCTTGGTGTTTGTGACTTGTACAAAAGATTTAGGAAAAGATGGCTTTTTCATACTTATTTCTGGAAACTGAGTAACTAGGGTGAGCTTATTTACAATTCTGTTTCTATTCTCCTCTATTTTTTGTAATTTAATTGGACAAATACTAGAAATAGCAATGTGATTACCTTTACAATTAATACAAAATGGATTACTTGTATTTTCACACTCCTTGTAGGAGTGGGCACCACCACATACAGAACATACTATTGCTCGTTTACAAAACTTAGATGTATGGCCAAAATTTAAACAGTTATAACATTGCAAAACTGGTCTAATGTATGGTTCTACCCTCAATGCAGATAGATCAAAAGTGACATAATTAGGTAAAATATTACCAGAAAAAGTAATTGATACTGTTTCAAGAGGAATAATCCCATCCGACGTTTTTTAGTGAATCTTCTTATTCCTAGAATTTCTTGTGAGGATACAAGTTTGTTGAATAAAGTTTTATTGCTTAGCTCGGTTGGTACAAATTTTATCACTCCAATGCATTCAGCTTGTGATGCTGGTATATAGGCTTTCAATTCCTGACTCTTTAAAAACTGTGAGTTGTTAAGTAGTGCATTGACATTTTTTGAATTATCAAAAATTACGGCATATTTGGAAGCATTTATACGTTTTAACTGTTTAACTCCTTTAATGAATCTATTAAAAATGCTATTTAAATAAATTGGATTTTTATTACCGAACTTTTCTTCTGGTTTGGTACTTTCTAAATATACAGAGAACACAGTTCCCTGAGAATTTGGCGGATAAATACGGATGTGATCCTGCTTGCGGTAGGGTAAATATTTATTTTCTGCTTCATCATCGGATGTGTGATCCGAAGCATCAGACAAAAATTCTTCCTTACGCCTCTTAACCGACTTTTTCTTCTTGGTATTTTTACCTCCACTGTCTTCGTCCATCTTTAAACTTTAGAAAACTAAACTTTCTCTAAGTTTTAACTATGAAAATAAAATAAATGAAATAAAACTTAAAAGTCGCGCCTTGCCTATTTAAAAGCCCGCCAAAAAGTCCCGAACCCAGGATAAAAAATGAAAGAGATGTGCTACTTTATGATTCATGTTAGTTTTTGAGGTTGCAAATAAAATTACTTTTTGGGTACCAACCAAATATATCTATTTGACAGCAAAGTGTAAAATCATCCCAATATTGTACTTATAACAAAAAACTATTAAATAGTGCTTAAAAATTCAAAAAGCATTTTTAGCTTTAAAAATCTAGCAGTTGAATGTTTTAAAATATAAATATATAATTAATTATTTTTTACATAATCATTGGTGTGTTGGAAATATGAATATATAAGAAATATTGTTTTCGTTAATATGTTATAAAAATTAAAATCATAAACTTATATAAGTACATTACCACGGATTGGTTTATTCTACATCTTAAGAATTCTTTCGATTAATCGTATCTCACACAATTTCAATTAGATCACACAATTTCAATTTGATTTTGTCCTGTTTTAGCCCATTTACACGATTTTGTTCCAACATCGCCCTAACCCGTAACACGCGGCGAGTAGCAGGCAACTGTCCGATCGCCGACTATTTTGGCATTCCGCGATAGACACACTTAGATGTGGCCAATACTTGTATAGTACTTCTTTTCTCAAATAATACGCGGTAATTAAAACTAAGTAGTACCTAGCAGAACTTTCGAAATTCTGGAAAATCAATGAAGAACATAAAATACCAATATTTTTCCCCGTATTTAAGTGTTTTCTATTTACATAATCACCTTTCTATTTCGAAATCCAGTTCGAAATTACAATAAAACCTTTGATAAGTTACCTCCTTGGATGCCATGTTTGGGAGTAAAATATCGTTCCATATTTAAATTACACGACAGATATGAGTTTATTATGTAATTTATTAGGCCGCTAAACACGACAGATTCTGATATAGATTTTCGTACAACTTTTGCCGGGTGCTGCTCGCATATATGTGGCCAGTACAGTATTTTCGATTTATCTCGAAAAATTTCCCAAAATAATGGTCACATTTCCAAGTAGGTGTGGGCATTTTTAGAATAACGATGCGCGATGCCAGTTTTCAATGCGCTCATCCGATGCGACTGGATGCCGTTATTGGATACCGATGCCATCTAGTTTTTATCAACTTTACTATACCAACAGTGCCACAAACTTATCTGTGTCGGTGTAGATGTCGCTAGCGGTGAACAAATATGTCAAAGAGCTAAGGATAAATTGTATTTAAAAAAAATCCACTGGCACAGAAAAGTTTGTGCCACTGGACTGCGTTCAAAACCTTCGCTCTGAGTGCAATTATTTATGTAATAATTTTACCAGTATTCAATACTTTTAAGTTCGGTATGGACCGAAAAGTAAATAAATGACAACGATTACATTTTCAAGACATGATTCATGAAATCGAAGAGACACACACCCACACAAACACGCATCTGCCCTAATTCATATCGCATCGTATGCTGTGATACTACGTTACTAACATTCACTTGGGCATCGATGCGCGCATCCGATGCGACTTATCTGATACCGATGCGCATCGATTTCACAAATATCTAAAAACGCCCATCTTTATTTCCAAGCATGTTTGAGAAAAGTATAACACATACCACTGCGAGTAAGGTTCGGAGGTGGAGCTCTTCATTGCGCCGTAGGAGTGCGGGTGGTGCGCGCTCGAGTTGGACGCGCGCCGGCCCTCGTTGGCGCCGCCTAGGGAGCTCCAACCGCCCCCACGGTTCACCTACACCGAACAAACCTCAGTATCATCATCATCAGCCTATTGTTGTCCCCACTGCTGGGGCAAATGGATGGATTAGGGAGATTGGACCATGACCCAATCCAATCTCAGTATCATCATCATCATCATCATCAGCAGCCTCTTAATGTCTCCACTGCTGGGGCACAGGCCTTCCCTATGGATGGAATAGGGAGTTTGGGCCATGACTCACCACGCGGGCCGTGCGGATTGGCGGGTGCTAACGATTGCAGGTGCAACGGGGACCAACGGCTTAACGTGCCTTCCGAAGCACGGAGGAATTCGAGATAGAATTTTTTGGTCACCCATCCAATGACCGACCACTGCGAAAGTTGCTTAACTACAACGATCGCAGCCGAACGCGCTAACCACCTGCGCCATCGAGCTCCTCTAATAATCTAATAATCTCATTATACACGGTTCATTTAAAAACACCAACCACTTAGGGGGTGATTCTACCTATCAACAGGAACAACTTTTACTATGGGACCAACTCTGAAATCGCGAAAAAAAATCAGCTGTTTCATACATTTCGGTAGAATCACCCTCTAAGAGGTTGCTGGTGTTTTAAAATTAACCATGTATAGCCATCGTTCACACTAAGAAACAAATTGGAAAGTAGTTTATGGAAAACTTGGAACGAATACTTCTCCCACACCAGTTTTGGATGGCTTTGGTGTTAAATGCGCTTAAATGCGTTTTGTCGGTGCGTTGCATTAGCGTTGGGTCGACCGAGTGGTGACGCACCATCGCTCCACATATGAATCAACGCAGTGAATGCCACACCAGCGCTGCGTTTGCGCCTTCGATATCCTAAATACTGCGTTGCCGTTTCGTCCTTTCAACGTAGCTCCCTCCCTCCTCTCCTTGTGCGTTGCGTCGCCGTCTGTCATTTAAATGTATCGTACGTGTGGCATGTCGTTCAGATTTATATGTATAACGACGGAATGTCACCGCTCAGTCGACGCAATGCTAATGCAACGCACCGGCAACGTCCGTGTGGCATCTCCCTAAGAAGAGGAGGGAGGCGAGGTGAGGAAGGGAGCTGTGTTGAAACGACGGAGTGGCGGCAGTGTTTAAAAGCATGTCGAAAGCGCAGATGCGGCGCCGACGCAGCGTTCATGTGGTATTATTCACTACGTTGAAATCACTGCGTTGCGACGACGCAGCGCTAACGTAACGCTCGTGTGGTGAAGATAAGGGTGGTGTCCCTTACATGCCTATTGGCGCTACATATTTGGTCGTTAGCCCGTATTCAGTTGCACGAAAGACATTACTCGAATTCGGGCACCTGAAGCAATAATTAAATTGTTTTCGGATACTGGAACACGGACAAACAACTCTGCGACCGCGTTATACTTGGAACCAAACGAATATGGGAACGAATACTCGACTCCATTCATTTACATTTAGTCGTTTGTCCGAATTCCATAGGCATTCGTATTCGGGCTATCGACCAAGTGTTATCGCGCCATATCTCTCACAGAATATTTTTATTTAAAAAGGATTCAATATTATACTTAAAGACGACTTACCTTCTCCGTGACAGTGGAGGCCATTTCGGAAACCTTTTGGGTTGCGATTTCCCCGTACCGAACTGCACTTTCCGTGGCAGTCCGCGCTGCTTTACTCACCGACGACGCGAATAACGACCAGCCCTGTAATTGTCCCAGAGTTTAAGAGAGGTAGAGCACAGCGGATTTTCCGATCAAACTGGAGCGCCCGCCTGGGGAAATAACTTCCACCTTACAGAAAAACACAGTAAAATAACACTAACTTTTGGTGGTGTTGTGTTTCTGGCGATGAGTAAGGTTCCAGGGATTTGATTGATTGATATTTTTAGTATCGCAAGCGTCTAAAGGCTATGGTGGCTGCTTTCCATCAAGCGAGCCATAAAATTGCTTGCCACTTTTTTAACACAAAAAAAAATAAGAAAATGAGTGTGCTTATGACCACAGGACTGAAATGAAACTTCTTTAGCTCCATCTGTATGTATATTATTTATATATTATCATCATCATCAACAATCCAAGCTCGTCCACTGCTGGACATAGGTTTCCCCTAATGCACGCCACTGCTCCCGATTTTCTGCCACTCTCATCCAGCCCACTCCAGCCAGCCTACGAATGTCATCATCCCATCTTGTCTCAGGGCGTCCTACACTACGTTTACAGAGTCGTGGTCTCCACTCAAGAACTTTCCGGCTCCAATGGTCGTCAGTTCTGCGGCTAATGTGACCAGCCCAATGCCACTTCAGTTTGCTAATTCGGTGGGCTATGTCGCTGACTTTGGTTCTCTGTCGGATTAAATCATTTCTGATGCGGTCCTTCAGGAATACTCCGAGCATAACCCTTTCCATAGCTCTCTGAGCGACTTTAAACTGGTGGACTCGTCCAACCGTGACATATATTATATGTGTGCACAATATATACAGGTATGTACATATACATATTTTATTTACTAGCTATAAGAGAAAGAGATAGAAAATGTGCGCGCACACTGCTTTGTTCATATCCCTCACTCAACTCCCGTTCGCCTATCCCGAACACACTTTTCGTAACGCGTAACGCATTCATCAGCTTACCCCCCAAGTCAAGCATGCGTAAAGAAGTTTCACTTCAAAAAGTGTGAATCTAACGCCACTATACACAACAAATAACTTAACAAAATAAAGGCCATTTTTGCTCGACCTTAAAGATGGTTGTATTGAATCATGTATAAATGGAATTGTGACTTATTTGGAAGAATAGTTAGTTGTTATATATATGATATTTTTTATTACTCACACAGCTCTAATTCAAAAGAATAGACTTGTATTTTGAACTAACGGAGGCGAAAATTGATAGAACAGCGAGTTGTAATATATATGATATTTTTTATTGGTCACACAGGACTAATTCAAAAGAATAGACTTGTATTTTCAACTCACGGAAGCAAAAATTGATAGAATAGCGAGTTGTAATTTATATGATATTTTTTATTGCTCACACAGGTCTAATTTAAAAGAATAGACTTGTATTTTGAACTCATGGAGGCGAAAATTGATAGAATAGTGAGTTGTAATATATATGATATTTTTTATTGCTCACGCAGCTCTTTTTCAAAAGAGTACACTTGTATTTTGAACTCACGGAAGCGAGCGAGGCGAGAGTGTTGTCCACCATCTCGTTGCCGCTGTGTATGGGCGACATGGGCGTGGATTGCGACTGCTTCGGGGTGTTCCCGAACCCGGTGTACCGCCCGCTGCCGTACTCGCTGCTGCTGACAACATCAATGGTCTTATAAATATTTTAGAAGGTAGCTAGTCAAAATTATTTAAACATTTTGAAAGCGAGACCTGCAAATGTCAAACGAGTCCTTTAAGAGAGGTGTGAAGAAGCATTTTTGCAGGGCGGCAATGTGAGGATGGTTGGTGTAGCAGTTTATCACCACTTAATATCAGGTGGGGTAAAGTCATTTGCCTACCTCGCTATAAAAAAAAAACGAAAATAAATATTCCTATCTGTTTTACACGTTAAAAAAGGTTTTATATTATTAATGATCCTTGCTTAGTAATACATAGTATAAAACAAAGTCGATCTCGCTGTCCGTACGCTTCGATCTTTTACACTACGCAACCTTCGATCAATGATTGTTCGTAGTACGTGACGGACTTTTATACAGTTTCCAGCAATAGTTAGAATGATTCAAGAGGGAGGTTTATTACATTAGTTACAAATCTTTTCTCTTTATAATGTTAGTATCCATAGTAATAATATAAATTCGAAAGTGTGTCTGTCTTTCTGTTAACTCTTCACGCTTAAACTTAACCGCTGAATCGATTTAGATGAAATTTTGTATAGAGATTGGGTCCCGGGAAAGGACATAGGATAGTTTATGTCCCAGAAATCTTCCTTGTGTGGGTGAAAAAGGAAGTGCAAGTTGGCATGGGAAACCAATTTTTCCACACAGATGAAGTCGAGGGTACCCCTAACCCACTAATAAAAGCATAGATATTACTGACTGGTAGCTGATGTTGTTGTCGGAGCCACTGGTGTGGAAGGTGTTGTCGCCCGACGAGTAGAAGTCTCGCGACTGGTTCCATTGGTCTTGTGGCTTCTCCACCGTGTCCGGCTTGTAGTCGGACGGACTCCAGGGCCGGCCCTCCGCCAGCGCTGTGATCTACGACAAACCCCAAACATACAAATACATTTCTAATAATCAAAGGTAGGGTGTAATATTAGGGGGGGGGGGGGGGGGAGAAAGGTTGAAGGCACAATATTGCATTAATTATATAAATACATTTAAGCATTACATAGTTGGTGTGGGACGCGACGTGTGTCAGCTCTTTCGCCGCTACCCACATCGCTCGCACGACACGCACGACTGGGGCGGCGGCTGAGTATCAGGCGGCGGCGAAGCGCTTAAAATATTTCTCGTTTGGCCTTGGTACATTTTTGTGCCTGTGGCGGTGGAAACGGCGGGCTGTTGGAGCGCAGAAGCCAAGCAATTTGTGTGGGACCTGGGCCACCGACTCAGGAAAAAAACTGATGACCCTCGCCCCGGGTCGTTTCTGGCACAAAGACTGCCTATTGCCATCCAGCGTGGCAATGCTGCAAGCATAATGGGCACCTTTGCGCCAGAAACGATACTGGGTGATATTTGACGGTGTTTGGATGAATGGAATTGTATTTTATTGAATTGACATAAATAAATTTACATAGGTAAACCGCTTAATTGAGTCCACGCCTGAGGGGTACAGAGTAAAATAAATATTGAAGGGGTGCTTCCATGACTTGACTTTTTTGCCGTTTATGGTACGGAACCTTTCGTGCACGAGTCTGACTCGCACTTGGCAGGTTTTTTTATTAATTGCTATTACTAGCTACCGCAAGTGACTTCGTCGATATTAACTTTAGTACCTATAGCGCAACTTTATTAATTTATTTTCCGTAAAACTTTCTAAAAATTATGAGTGAATAAAAGGATGGATGAAATCGGTATATTCGTTCTCAAATAGTGGTGTGACCAAGCGAATTATAAACATTCATTTATATACCTAACCTATACATTGTCGTAGTACACTACTTTTTTGGCGATGTGATGTCACAGACCGGCAATCACGCAAATAATATGTCAACAATAGGTACATAACTTAAAAAATAATAGGTAGCACGATTGAACTACTATTCATTACGATAGAACATACATCCTTGATTATGTTGGGTGTACTAATTCATTCCTGGAATCATTGCTGTGTCTGAAAACACGATCATAAACAACATTTCATTGTTAAAAGTGTTGACCGTAATATATCTTTATAAATACTGGTATAAAGTGCAAAAAGAAAGCACTGTTTTTGGTAAATAAATTAAAATTCATAAGATAGATTTCTAGAAGTTCGATTTCGGATTAGAAGTATCGATCGGTAGGTCGATGTTTCCTTGATCCTTTACCGTGGCACTCCTGACCTACTTACCGCGTCCTGAGCCAGTCGCTCGCAGACAGTCCGCCTAGGAGCCTGCGTCGTTTGTCACCAAACCAATCTAGTGGTCCAGAAAGTTTTCACGGCACCGTGCTTGGTCGACCGATTCCCGAACCAGGGGGATGAAAGTGGCACTCTGCCATGTCCCTTATATTAATGAAATTAGTGAAATATAATCTCGCGGTCGCCGTGCGCGTGGTGTGACACGTGATCACCCGCGCTCTCCGACTCTTCGTGTCTTCGGCTTCACCGGCGTGCTCAAATGCCCGTGAGCTCCATCCACCTGCGTGCTTCCTGCTGAGGCATACGGCGTCAGCCCGTAGACCCCTATCACCAGGGTGCAGCATGCTGTCACGTCAAGGGTTGATGTCCTTAGGCATCACCGCCAGCGTCGCTTCGTTCAACGAGGGAACTAGGTACCACCAGTGCTGCGTATCGAAAGGTGAGCGCGTGTGTTTTTCCTTGTCGCCACGTGTCCCGTCTGGACTTTAATGACTTTTGGTCGATAAACTAATTATTTGCTAAACATCATTAGTATTATTTCATAAGGACCATTGTCTCACTGCGGGCCGCCGCCATGTAACACGCGAGTTTATTTGACATAAATTGCACATACCGAAAATCACCATCTTTGATATGTTTTCTCAAGCTGCGACCTTTGTAATCCAAAAGTTCATTTCTGCAACCGAGAGCCTACCCCCGTACCTTACCAACTGGGTATTAGCTGTAACAACACCTGCTCGTATGTAAGGAACGTGCCATAGGAAATTAGTAATTCTGGGCCTCAAGCTCTGAACCTCAACATTTTCATTTGTTTTTTCTTTTACATACGACAAAATATTGATTTTGTGATAGTTACACACCTATGTGACGATTTCAGGTATCCATCTTTTTCCTATTATTAAAGTTCTGTGACGGACAGACAGACGAACAGCGCAGGTATTTAATACAGTTCCATTTATCACCCTTTAGGTAAGAAACTCCAAAACTAGAATCGCAAACCTAAAGGTTGCGTTAGACTTAATTGATGATTATCAAAGGTTAGGTTTACTTTCATCGTATTTTCTATGATTAGCGTGTCCGCATCGCGTCGTGTCGGATGTTCCTACTGTGATTCAGAACATAGAATATAGTTCATTTGATTTGACTCCACACGCGTGCCGTGGCGTCGCGTTTCATAAGTCTGTTTCTGCCATTATCTTTTAATTTAGACTTACCTTTTGGCGGTACATGGCAGCCGCCTTGGTGTTGTACTTCTGTGGGATGGTCATGCCTTGCTTGTAATCAGGCTGGCTCTCTAGGAACTCGCGCGCCTTCAAATTACCACCCACCTGCGAAACGTAACACAATCCAGTATACTAATACATATATCGCAAATAGCTTAGAAAGCAATTTTGGTGCTAAACATAAAACAAAAAACTAAACTAACTAAGCCTTTGGTGATGTTGTGTTTCTGTCGGTAAGTAAGGTTCCAGGACTCCGCAGGGTAGGCGCTAAGATCAAGGTGGCGCGAGTGATACTGTGGTAACGCAAGCGTCTGACTATAGGCTAAGGTGGTCATTTATTACCAGGGAGCCATATACTTGTTAAGGTGCCATTTAAGGACAGGCGGCAGACCACAAACAGCAGCGAAACCACTTGTTTCTATGATTCTGAAATTAATTCCGAACGCAGCGAAAATGCGGCCTGCCGCAGTGTCGCCCATCTAGGAAGTGTACCTTCAGCCATAATTTAATATGAACACTACTGTGTAGTAATTTATATTCTACCCAGCCTGATGTATAAAAAGTATACAGGTATTTCCTACAGCGCTCTGTGCAGAACATATCTAGAGGAAGAGGAGAAGAGCGCTCAAGTTCGCTCATAAGAATACAGGTCATTATAAAACTAAAAGATTTTTTATCTGAAGAGAGAGAGGACATTTATGGGCTGCTGGGCTAAAGGAGCCGGAGTGGCAGGGCTGATGCCACTCCAAATACAAAATAGGCACTGAGTGTGGATTTGCAGAAACAGCAATCTGGACTACATCATGATTGAACTCTGAATGTAAAGATGGTTGATGCAGAAGAATTGCCCCTATAGGTACGCTCACTTTGCAAGCCTGAATACAATTCCCTTACCCCATGAAGCTTTGGCAACTTACTGAGATAAAGGTACAGTACTTTAGAACAGCCTTGTTTGGCTGTAGGTTTACTATGAGTAGGGCTGCCATCTTTAAATTTGGCAACCAGGACAAGACGCGTGATAACCCCGGATTTTGGAGCCAAAACCCCGGACAGACCAATAAAAAAGCAGTTAAAAATGTCACAAATAAACTTTTTTTCATGTTGATGTAGGCAAAAGAGCTAGCTGTCCACATGATAATAAGTGGTCACTGCTGCCCATGGACACTTGCAGCACCAAGGGCCAATCTGCCTTGTGTGATGCTGTGAAGAAGCTTGGCCACTGGCATCCGGTTGAATAATTCCTCGGAATACTCTCCATTGTATAGACGGTACAACACGTACAAAGAGTTGCGTCCTTGTGCGTGTTGTACCGTCTGCGTAGTTAAGGGGTTGCAACGCGTGAGTGAGCTCAGGATCATCGATAAGTCAAACTGCTCGCTTTTGCATCCGGTCAAGAGGAAGGAGCTGGTATTGGGGTGCTCTAGCCCAGAGGACCAGTACTTTGTATAATAACACCCGATATTTAGGCTTGAGGTACTTACTATATCTATTGAGCACCCAAGCTTTTTCACACACACATGTCTTTGCTGGGTTAATCCAATAAAATTTTGTTGGCTCCAATTTGAGACTTGATCCAGTAACATCTCAATCTCGGACACAAGTCTGTCTTTACACCCTTCTACTTCCATCCGAGGGATGTTTGACCGACCATAATAATAATAATATTTCCAACAATCACACCAATTAGCCTAGCCCCAACGTAAGCACTGTAAGGCTTGTGTTATGGGATACTAGGGTAACGGATAGAATACATATACTGTACATATATAAGTATATTTATATAGAAATACATATTCAACATCCATGACTGGAGTACAAATGCTCGTATTAATCACACAAACATCTGCCCCCACCGGGATTCGAACCCGGGACCTCTCGAGTCGGCGACACCATGAAACCCGGCGTACAAACCACTCGGCCACGGAGGTCGTCTTTGTCGACCAGTGTAAAAATTATCGAGTTCGAATAGTTTGCTAGTCCAAAATGTCACGAATTCGATATTGGTTCGTGCTAGGGGTACTGATCTTTGTAGGAAGTCAGCATTTACGGTTACAATGTTAGAATAGATTTATTTATTTTCAAAGACATATTGACGGATCAATTGGCGATCAAAAACAGAAAATTTCTAAACCCGTAAGACTACAAATGAAACCCCGCCCGGACGCTCCCCGGACACCCTGTAAACTAGGACAAATCCGGGGAAACCCGGACGGATGGCAGCCCTAACTATGAGGGTTATTATTTATGTATTTATCAACCAAATGTTCTATTGTGCGTTATTGTAGGAGTATATAGTTAATCAAAAATTCAAGATAACAGCAAGTCATAAGCTGTTTATTATATGCTTCACCTGTAAACATTTTGTGCTGAGATTTTTTAAAAGTATGTATGTACAACTGCAAACTGCCTGTTGATTCTGTAAGATACAATCTCACTCACAATCTCATTTATTCAGATATTTGACATTAGATTAATATTTATTGAAGCAACCAGGAAAAGACACTTGACAATATTCATAAATCCAAAAAAAGAGATTGTACATGAGATTGTATCTTACAGAATCGAATCAGAAACTAAGTAACTTTCGCTATGCAATTACTGGTCACAAGACAAGTGACCAAGAATTTATTATCTCAAGTTCTTTTGTGGTCTGAAAGGTTCAGGTCCATTGGAACAGTTTCATTTGTTTAGTTAGCGCCAATGGGTGCACTCAGGCTCAGTGTAATCTGCAATCTTTATTCTTACATAGGAAAATCTAGTGGCTCAGCAGTAGGAACTTTATCTTATAAATCCATAAGATAATTTCCTACTACTGGAGTCACTGGATTTTCCTCAGTTTACAATCAACATCACTAATATAAATAGGGTAAACCTTCGCATCACTGATGTTATGCAAGCTGTAGCTCTTTGATTAAAAAAAAAGATATAATACAAAATAATTAAGCAGATTTTATTGCAGTGCTAAACGCTTAAGCTCTTCATTGGATAGTTAACATGGTAGCTCATACTGGTTTTGAAGGAGCTTACATATTTCAAGTCTTTAAAGTAATATACTGAAGTTTAGGTAGTTTGAAACCTACATTCTTAATTACATCTATAGGGATAGTGTGTGAGCCAGCCAGAGACAGTAATACAATGAATACATACAACAACATGTTAGGTAACAAAACGTTTCAGAATCTGATAAGTTTTCAACAATCAACTTAAATACTCAGGTTTACAATAAATAAGAATTGAGTACAATGAAACTTTGTAAAACAGGTACAATGACAGTTGAATAAACAACAGATAACTCAGTTCCTACATAAAAGATCCAAATACCATTTTAAAGTACATTTTCAGTATCCAGATAGACATAAACTGATAGGACAATGGCCAATTTGGTCCAAAACTCAAAGTCTGCCCCCAAGGTTAAGATGTAGCTCATTTAAAAGAGATGTTGGAGTAAGGCTGAGATGGAAGGAGTGCAGATGGCGCTAGCTGTCGTGTGAACATCGAATGTACATATATTTACGTGTTAAAAATATTAATTTCGTAGTAAATATAACAAATTGCGTCTCAATCCACGTCTCAACATCCAATAGTGCCGGAATAGTGTTATCTCTGAAAACCATAATCATTCAACGTCTAAAAAAGTAAATTACAAAAAAGTTGTTACTGGTACTGTGATTTAAAAAATAAAAGTGATACAAGTGATATATTGTGATAAAGTAAAGTGAAAAAAATCTATGTTTATGTGGTCAGAATAAACAGAGTATCATTGTAAACAAATCATAAAGTAAGAGTGTTACATTAAAAATAATCAAAATATTTCGCATTCAGCTGTATTCATGCCCGCAATGATAATAATAAATATTGAGGACATCTAGTGACATCTATTGAACTACACCAAAACCACTCGAATAAAACTTTACCAAAGCGACATCTGGTGAGCTTTACTTATTAAAACTATTGATAGCAAAATCAGAAAGCATACTCAATAACAATAATGCGACTATACCACCGAATGTGACTTTTATACTCGTCATATTCAGCAATCGTAGCTTGGCGTAAAGGATAAGACATCACTTCGATACCCAAAGTTCCGTGATTCAAATCACGAAGTGAAAGAATTTTTTTTTTTTTTATTTGCTCTTGTTTGGACAACTTAATAAAAATGAATATAAATCAGAATAGAACTTTGTCCATTACTTGTTCATTGTGCGAAACACTATACAAATTACACGATACAGAAGTGTCGGAAAAAAGATATGCCCTTAAGACCAATGATAATAAAATGACTTGGAAATGTAATAAATGTTGTACGAGATCACCGATTCCATCAAACAGTAATATAAACACTGCAAAACGATATAAGCGCTCAAAATTAATAAGCCCAGACCGTGACGAAAGCAGCTATAGCTCTTTAACTTTAGAATGTTCTATGAAAAGTGTATCAAACAAATCCATAAATGAAAGCCCAATAACAGGAATGAAAGAACAAATACGCTTATTACGACAAGAACTAGCAACAGCACATAATGAGATTAAGGCTTTATTATCAGAGAATGCAAGATTAAAAAAACAATACGAGAAAGAAAATTGTACTACCTCAAAATCTTTAAAGGAAATTAATATCAGCCCTCTTAGGAAACGAAACGGCAAGAATTTTATCACCGATTCTACCTCCTCCAACTGCTTCAGCTACAACACCAAAAACAAAGGCAATACATCAAAGCACGCCTATAACCAAGTTAGCCCAAATCAAGACAACCACAACAGAAGAACGAAATGCGACATTAATTAAGACTAATAATGTAATGAAATGCGTGTCCAATGATAAATTGTCAAATAATTTAAATGTTAAGCCCACAGAACCTCATAAAGTATTAATTTTTGGAGATGATGAGGCGAAAGGTACATGTAAACTTTTGCAGTCTCTTTTGGGAGACCATTTCAAAGTGTTGTCTTTATTGAAGCCAGGAGCAAAAGTTGAACAAATATTGAACTCATGTTTGTCTCTCTGTGACGGCCTAACTAGATCGGACTATGTTATTATAATTGGAGAGTCCAATGATGTTAATCCTATGGAACTGCAGAGTTATTTGTATTTTTATATTAGCAAA